GTACTCTAGCATTTGCAGCTCAACGTGCTGACATTTCGTAAAATAAATTTCGGGTTCTTTAGGAACAAAAGTTTTTTTGTATTTTCAAGCGTATTTTTAGAAGGCGCAATTCACGCGAGAAGATAAGGCAGCTTTGAGTTCACCCCAGATGAATGTAGGCTTTTCACTTGCTGTGGCCAGTCACGAAGACCGGGATCATGGGCACGTGCGCGACGGAACGGTCACCGTGAAAGCCTTAATTTTATTTGTGCCTCTGCATCACGAACTGTGTGCTTTGGGTTTGGTGACCCAAACGGCAACAAGAAAAAGTGTCGGCACTGGCATGGCAGCATACTTATATGCCTCATACCTTCGGTGATTAAAGGCGCAAAGCCGGCTTGGGTTCTTCGGTAAACCGGGACATTAGGCAGGTTTTAGGAATATCGATGCAAAGCGTGCGGCGTAGCTGGTTTGCGACTGCGAGCAACGTTTTAGCTGGTTTGTTTGCTATCCTGCCCTCAGACGAAGGTGGCGTAAACGCGTGACTGTTGCCGTTGACTTGTTTGCCCCGGGACCGGTGTTTTATTTTCTTTGCGTCTACTCTTCCGCTACATTTGCATCCGCTGACCTTGAGTATGAAATTGTTCAGGGTTCGATGTTTGCAATATATTCATGGGATTTGATGGCCATTTTTGTTTTGAACATGATGCCATGGTTGCACCAAAAGCGACAGATATCAGCAGTATCTTATACGCCATGCACTTTACATGGTGCTCTCCATTGACCGTGGACTAATTGTATACCATGTCCTAAGCAACATTTTCCTATCGTCATAACGGGCCACAGCACATCCAAACCCGAAGAAACATAAAACCGCCTTCCAAGTGTCAGTGGCTGGCATCGCCTCTGGCAGTGCGAGACCTTCGGGTCTCCTAGCGTCGCCTCTGGCCGGCGAGCGGCCGGCGCTCGCGGTCTTTGACCCGGTGATCGGTGCAACACACTCCTCAGAGGACAGTTGTCCAAACTGGCCCCGTTTCTCGGCCGTATCACGTGATCAGCAAGCCAGCCCCAGGGAGGCAGGGCGGGCCGGTGGCAAGGCTCTGTCGCGCTGTCGCTACCGTCGACCCTTCAGCTGCGTCCACTCAGTCATCCCAGTCAATCATTCTGATCAACCATTCCCTCGACCATTGCGCTCAAACACTCCCTCAACCATTCCACTCAGCGGTTTCACTCGATCATTCCAGTCAACCGTTCTACTTAAGAATTATAATCAAGCATGCCACTCAACCATTCCACAAACATTTTATTTAGCCATTCCGCACCACCATTCCAGTCAATCATTCCAATCAACCATTCTACACCATTCTAATCAAACAAGCCACTCAATCATTCCACTCAGCCATGCTATTCGCCATTCCACTGAAGCATTCCACTCAACCATTCAGCCCTCCAGTATTTTGTGTCATTACACCGGAGTCTCGGCGACTTAGGGCGCAAACGCGCACAACGAAAGTCTGCCAGTCTGAAATCATGTGTCGCTTGGAGCAATAGGAAAACAGAGATTTGGCTGGCAGCGTACCTGCCTGCTAACGAGAATGACAACCTTCTCATAATAGTTTGCAGAAGTGCGCACTATAGTCCAACTTGAATAGCTGCCACCGGGAAGGGAACCCGTGGCTGAGTTTGCAGAAGTGCGCACTATGGTCCAACTCGAATAGCTGCCACCGGGAAGGGAACCCGTACGTGATGGTGGTGATCCGTAGAGTTAAAATAGATGAGGTGCGAGGGAGGAGTAAAAACACCGCCGGCCTGTTTTGACCAGTACACCCTAGGACGCCTGGGCTCCACGCGAGCCATCGCCCACTTCAATTACCCGTCGTTGCCTCCTTGGGTACACTTGCGCCTCGGACCGACCCGACCCGATCGTTACGATCTTCCCCGGCCGGCGACAAACAGCCGCGCACCGCTCGGGTTCAGAGAAGCGTTTCGTGGTGCCGGCCCCGCGCCGCCCCGAAGTGGGGCAGCGGGCGGGCTGGGTCGGCGGCCGGCGTCTTGGTGGCGGAGAAGCGCCGGCCGCTGGAGACGCGGAGTGATTGGATTCCAGCCCCGAGCCGTCTCGCCACCCGCCCGCTCGGCGTCGCCGATACTGTACATCGATCTCGAGGGGCGCCTCTCTGACCTGAGACCTGAGACCTGAGACTTGAGGCCTCAGACCTGAGACCTGAGACCTGACGTTCAGAAGCAGGATCGCTACGCGAGCCCCTCCCCCTCCCCCTCCCCCCATCAGCTGGGTGCGGACAAGTGCCCGGTGCGTGTTCATACCGAGCACGTTCGTCGATTTATTAGATTCCATGCCCCGTCAAGCGGAACGAGGTGCTGAGCAAAGTACGACGCGCTGGTACTGTGTCGGAATTTTGTACGCAGACTAGACAGTGGTTGAGAGGGGAGCATTAAACGTGTAATATGCGATTATTTGGAGTCAGAAAATTGGTATCGATGGTGTATTTCGTATTGCCTATTTCTTACTGTATGCCTTTTAATTGGTACGCGTATAATTGTCATCTACTGTACCTGTGACGCTCGCTCCCAAAAACGGCTCCTGCGGAGCACATCAGGAGGAGGAGGACATCAGGAGGACTCCTGCGGATAGATGATGATAAGAATGGTAGCGATGGTCTTCTCGTGCCAAACTGGGACATCGTTTCTACGGTTTTTTCTTCGCCGCTGCTCCTCATTTTCCAAGCAAGGGGCGATGTTCGCCAGCGGAGAGATGCTCACCACTACACCGGCGTTCACGGCGGCACGGTAAACGCCGGTCTGGTTTCTCATTAAGTGTGAGACACGGTAGGTTCGGGACACAACAACCAGATGGGTTCGAGTCCCACCTGTGGCGCCGCATTTCCGCGGCAAGCCCGACAGCCGCCACCCGGCGGGCATGGCCAGATGAGCTACGCTGACTTGACCGTAGCGTCTCCCGGGGATCTGAGTGGCGTTAGTTCCGCCAGCGTCATGCCGGGCGCGCCCGTGCATTGTTGGGCTAGGTCGGCACGAAAGCTGAGTGCAGGGCTCGCAGCGGGCAGCCAGTGGGGTTGTGGTGACGGTCCAGAGGCAGATGCGGGTTGTGGCCGCAATCAAGAGACAGACGTGGGTTGTGGTGACGGTCCAGAGGCAGGCGCGGGTTGTGGTGACGATCCAGAGGCAGATGTGGGTCCTGGTGAGGGTCCAGAGGCGGATGCGGGTTGTGGTGATAATCCAGAGACAGACGTGGCTTGTGGTGACGATCCAGAGGCAGGTGCGGGTTGTGGTGACGATCCAGATGCAGATGTGGGTCGTGGTGAGGGTCCAGAAGCAGGTGCGGGTTGTGGTGACAATTCAGAGACAGACGTGGCTTGTGGTGACGATCTAGGGGCAGATGTGGCTTGTGGTGACGATCCAGGGGCAGATGTGGCTTGTGGTGACGATCCAGGGGCAGATGTGGCTTGTGGTGACGAACCAGGGGCAGGTGCGGGTTGTGGTGACGATCCAGAGGCAGATTCGGGTTGTGGTGAGGGTCCAGAGGCGGACGCGGGTTGTGGTGACAATTCAGAGACAGACGTGGCTTGTGGTGACGATCTAGGGGCAGATGTGGCTTGTGGTGACGATCCAGGGGCAGATGTGGCTTGTGGTGACGATCCAGGGGCAGATGTGACTTGTGGTGACGATCCAGGGGCAGATGTGGGTCGTGGTGAGGGTCCAGAGGCAGGTGTGGGCCGTGGTGACGATCCAGAGGCAGATGTAGGTCGTCGTGACGGTCCAGAGGCAGATGTGGGTTGTGGTGACGATCCAAAGGCAGATGTTGGTTCCGTCCCTTATGTGTACCGGGCAGGGCGGGCAGTGCAGCTCATCATTGGTAACAGCAGCGGATGTGTGATGAAATATCAGCAGGAACCCTTCGGAATCAGGGTAAAGAGTGGGAAGAAGTTGATCCGTGAAACAGCGCGGGGCTCCCGACGTGCTCTGACTGGACAACAAGCCAGTCCGGAAGCAACTGAGTGGTAGAGGCTCTATTTCCACGCGCAGTATTGTGCCCAATGGATTTCTTGGTGTACCGTGACACGTTATCACATTTGTTTACAGCCGTCTGACGCTCGCTTTTTCAATATGGTGTCCGCCTAGACAACCTTCTTCATCTGAGTTCTGTCTTCGAAATCCTGTCCCATTCAAGTATTGAGAGGCCAAGACTATCAGGAATCACGGATGACTTCCTGACGAGTGGCCCACTTGCTGGCTGGTGGTTGCGTATGTTCCGCGTCACCTAGTAGTAAAGCATCTGACCGACACGTAATCTTTGTAGACTGGAATGTGATATCATGCGGACCCGTACACAATCTGTCATATTTACTCGAAAACAACGTGTAGTTAGGGGGCTTGAGCGGAGCGCAGCGATCTCGCCAGTAATTTGTACCACTTGGGTGAGGCTAGAGCGGCGCAGTTTTAGGTCAGCGTTCCCGGACATGCTGCTTCATTGAGTAAGGATGTCAGGACCGTTATGGCTGCCGGTGTAGCGGATGATCTTTCATCTAGATGTTACTGCTAGATTTGTGCACATGATGGCTCCGTCCGTCTTTTCCGGAAGATTTTTCTTGGTGAGATACACGTAAAATCCGTACCCTCAGCTTTGCCTTGCGCACCTGGCATGCCGTAATGTTTTCGATGTTGGATTTAGTTTAAGCCTGGAGATCGTTTTTTAGCTTTTTTGGCAATCGGCCCACGAAAGAAGAGAGAAAGCAGAGCCAAGTGAAAACTTAACTGTCCGGAGCAGATCTGCGGCATGATGGTGCTACCAGCCGAGCACGTGGCGTGTTTCAAGACGTTTGTTAAATGGAATAGAGGAATAAGTCTGGTCTTCACTCTCCATTTATGAATCGACACACTTAATAACCGAGAGGTTTTATGTGGCCGTGTGGTCAGAACTGAGCGTTTGGAACAGACTGAGAACGTTTGGAACAGAACTCACCGCCATCCTGACGAACTGCGCTCACCTCCATCTTGACGATCTGGGCGGTCATGCCGCAGTCAAGGTTGACGAAGACGGAGCACTTGCCAGAGCCTCTGTAGTTGACGTCGTCGCAGACGATGTAGGCGCGGGAATATAGCCGAATGTGGATGCCGTGGTTTACCATGGCCATGTTGGCGTACCCCATCTGCCGGAGACGTGTAATGCGTCGGAGGCAATACCGGCAACAGATGCCACAGATGCAAACATGTGGGCGGAACTGGGCGAAGAGAGTGTCGTCTACCATGCCCAGGGTGGAGATTTTCGCACCTTGTCCCACTTGTCTCATTGCAAAACATTTTTGCAGTAAATTAAAAACAAAACATCTTATCTCAGCGCAAAACAAAGTGGTCAATGCAATGGCAGTCATCAAATTGCAACCAAATTGTTCGCAACAACACAAGTGCCGGTCCCTGACTCCATGTGGCCTACCTTCGTCACTTCACTTCCTTGCCCCCCCCCCCCCCCTTTTCACGGGCGCCACCCCTCACAGAGCCCACGAAGCACCATGAACATTCGGACGCACGCACCGAGCATTCCATTTCATTTACCGAACATTCTGCGCTCTTTCTACCAATATGATGCAACTTATCCGCGTAGAACCTATCCGCATAGGGCGGACGGGCACCGCCTTCCCACGCAACCCCCTTTCCTGTCCCCTATCCACGCCCCTTTCCTGTCCCCGACCACGAAGCCGTTTGTCCTCCGACTGCGCCTCGGCGGGCGCCGGCGGCGGGCGCCGGAGCAGGGCGCCGGTGCCGGGCGCCGATGCCGGGCGCCGGAGCCGGGCGCCGGAGCCGGGCTCCGGCGGCGGCGCGCTGTGGGCGTAGCGTTCGCGTCCGTCAGCTGCCGCCGTGTTTTGCTTTCACCGCAACGGAACCACCGCCGTCCCGGCGGCGAACGCTGGGCCTGGGAACGGGTCCAGAGGCGGCCAGTGCCACGGAGATTCCGACTTTCCGACGCGTGCGTGCGGCGAACGCGACCAACCAAAAACGTCCACAGGGCGGCGGACGCAAAACCATCCACGGGCGACCAACCCCGGCGTGACTGGAACCACGAATGACTGCGGTGTGTCTGGAGGTCGCGCCTGCTGGCTAGTTCGACCGGACGCGACCGGCGGTGGGGGCTAAAGGCGACTTCGGGAGATCCGCGGACCGTTCCGGCTGTAGGGAGAGGCAGTGCGCTGCCTCGCATGAAGCCCGAAGGGGGTAAACCGAGGGGTTTAGCGGCGCGAATCTTGGGCAACCCAGTGGGTTTGACTTGTCAAGAAAATATTTGCCCTGTTCTGCAATGGCAGGATTTCATAGGGTCTGTGTATGGATACGTGGAGAGAATATGTTTTCCGCGCACACAAGACCAAATTAAAATGCACGCACATCACACGCACTCAGGGATCTCACTAACGCTATGTTTGTTAACGGCCATCTGCCGCAAAGGCGCGTAACAATCCAGTAATGGGGCGATCACAATACGTTACGAAAATCGCGTTGCGGTTGCGTTGCGTTCCATTGCGTCGCGTTTACGGAAGCGTTATCACTTTTCACCAGTGCTTCTTCCTGCAGTTTTCCTCGGGGCTGCGAGAGGCCTCAGTCGGGGAAGCTAACACCCAAGTCACGTCCAGCGTCGTCGCACGTTCGCCTCGATGGACAGCTGTCGAGTGCAGTGACGTGCGCACGTGTGTCCCGTGACGCCTGCGCACACACTCGGCCCGCGGCCCGATTTCCCTCGTCAAACCACAGAGCGCAGGTACGCATGACAGAGGTCTTTAGTGACTTCAGTATTAAACTTGACCCCGGAAGGATCCGAGGTGGCGCATACCCCGAAAGCGCGTTACTCTGCGCTTATAGTGGGCGCACAGTGGTTCTTAAGTCATTGCCAGCGTTCGCGATTGCCCGCAGGCTTGGAAAATTTTACGCTATTTGTATCGAACGACGGGCTACGCCGGAATGCCCTCTCTTGACCCAAAGCCTCTCGCTGCGTGCGTCCGTACAGGTCACGACCTCGCCCGTCCCCTGAGGTGTCTGGGCTGACCTTGCGACCGCCGGCTGCCGGCGACGGGCGCCGTCAAGACACCGCCGCCGGCCACGCGGCTCACCTGCCTCCCGTCCTGTCGCCCTCCTCCCGCTCTGATCGCCGGTCCGTGCTGGAGGCACCGGCTCGGCCCCGCGAGGTGCCACGGGCCGCGGAGTGAGTTCTGAGCGGCGACGCCCCGCGGGCCACCGCGGCGCATGTCGGGAACGTGTCGAACGCTCGGATGTTCGTCGACGGCGTCACTGGCGCTTTGCAACGCACTCAGCTGCTGAGGCTATGTGGCGTCGCCTGCCTCCCCTCCTGCCAGGCAGGGCGGACACCGCCGGCAATCGAGGTTCGGATGTTTGCCCGCACTACGTGCTGCTGCCCCTTTTTGTCCCCTTTGCTGGTGGCTGATACCCTTGTCAAGTTTAGCTTAGCAAGGTAAAGCAGCTGAGGAAGTTGGAACAGGAGTATGCGTCTGCCCTCAACGCCTACTGTTATTCGTGTCCTGTGCCTGGCGCCAGTGCTACCCACGTCCTCTCTACCAGTGTCCTCTCTCCCCATCCTCTCTCCCCGTCCTCTCAATGGCGATTCCGAGCCTGCCATCCCGTGCTCAAGAGATACAATAGGTGGATTTGTATGTGACACATTTCACAGCTATGACCCTTGGCGTACAGCAATCACTTGCACCAGTTGGAAGGAAAACATCCAGGCAGGGCTGGACGCGAACCCACAACCTCTCGGCTGGTAATTCAGCGCGCTTCACCTGAAACGCGGCAATCGTGGTGCAGCGCTGTCCCCAAAAGTGGGAGGCAACGCGGAACGTCCCATCGCCGCAGCGTTAGCGTTAAACTCGTCCCAAGAAACGGGTGAAAGATGTGATACACGACGAACCACGTATATTCGCTGCTGTGCAATACAACACGTCTCGTTTTAACGTGACGCAGCCGTATTCATACGTCTACAAGCCGGCGTCGCCCTGCTCAGCCAGGCGACCGTGTCGGTCATGTGGGGGGGGGGGGGGGGGGGGGGGGGGGCGGGGCTGCCTCTCCCGTCGCCGCCAGCTGACGCGTCGCCGCATCAGACAGGCGGCATGACAGGCGGCATGACAGGCGGCATCTGCCGGGCCGGAGGAGGCTGCAGCTGGCGCTGCGGTGTTCTTTGGGGCGCTGCCCGGACATGTGACCGTGAGTGGAGCGCAACCAATGCAAATCCCCCGAGGGGAGGCGATGGCTAGATTTTCCTCCGATGTAGAGGTTTTGTTGCAGGGCTGGGTGTTTTTAACCAACGCTTCCTGCTGATTTCCTGCTGATTTGGGCTTTATGTCGGGGTGGAGGAGACAAGCTTTGGGCGGGACCGCGCATTCCCGAAAGAGACGCAAAGCGTGCTCCCCTGCCGTTAGTTTTTCAACGCGTAGAATCGCTGATGTTACTGGACGGCTGTGCTTATATGGCAGCTCCTTTAATGATCGGAGGCAGTGGGGTGTGGAAACGCCGCTAACTTAACCATGGCTCGTAAGGCAAGGTTCGCATGCAATCCAATGGCATGACAACATTGTCCGCGTTGTCTGCTCACATGCTTCGGGTATAGTCTTGTACTGCTGAAGATAAGGTCCGAAGTACAAGTCTTGTACCTGGGGTCGCATCACTAATAAGTGTTAATGAGTCACAGGTTTAGCTGCAGTTCCCTTCTAACAGCGTCCCTGGTCTCGCACCACATACCGAGCATGTTCAGCGCAGCTCATATGCCACACTTATGCACGCTCTTGCCAATTTTTGCGGCATTTCACACCACGGATGTCTTTGTTTTCCCAGACACATGTCATGGCATTACCACCGTCACTGCCAGCCCTGACACCAACGGCCGGCATTTTCACCCCAACATGTCGTGCACACGAAAGAAGCGCCCCGAGTATGTCCTCCGCAATCCGTAACGGACATAACGGATGGAACGGCTCCACGTCAGAGGCGCAGGCACCTGAGCCACTCCTGCAGCGGTGGTGTGTTGTGTAAGCCTCGCTCCACCCCGCGGTTCAGCGTCCCCTTCCTCTCGGTGAGCGCGCTTGATGGTGCCCCTGGCAGGTCACCGCCGCGTGCTGATGTGCGTCGCGTGCAGAAGGCGGCTGTGGCTTCGCGCGATAGAGAGATGGGTAGGGCCCGTGGGCACGCAGGCAGTTCCTTGCAAAGTTTTGGAGGGATTTAATACTTAAGGTTTTTAATGGGATTTGACCTGCCAAAGAGGTTTTTTTACTTCTGTTTGTTTTGCAATGTGCAGGAAATTCCAATTTTAACAAGCTTTTGACCAGAAAAGTAGACCAATGCTAAAAACCTTATCATATTTGCATTTGATCATCACCGTAACACTACTGACTAGGGTGTTACCGTAACACCATCAGCTGATGCCGCTCGTGTTCTTCTGTGCCAGTGTTAAGGCCAAAATATAGCATAATTATTACAGTGCAATCTGTTATGTTATTCATGCCTCTCCACAATACAACATTTCCGCAGGACCAACAAAATTTCAGTCATGAGCGTCGTTGTTCCCGACAAAATCCCCATTTTTAGAATGATTCCCTTATAACTCAGAAACGGCTCGGTCATTACCGGTGGTATTGCCTCAATTGAGGTCCGCTGGAATCACCGCAGGTCAGGCATAGATGCTTTGGGTGTGGCTACTGGCTGTGCCCATTTGACTGTGGACCAGTCATTACGGAGCCATTGCCAATGCTGTGGCTTCCCATGCCCTTTTACAGAATCTGGCACACGGGCTTCGAAAATGGCCGCTATCCGTGCAGTGAATGACGAACAGGTTCGATGAGTCGTTGCCGGTGCCATTCTTGAACCTAGCCCGGAATTCCGCGTCAGGAAAGGCTTTAACGAAAAATTGTGTATGGATTGTAGGCATAAAGCGTTTTGGCGGGAGTTGCCTCTTAACGCCTAAATATTTCTGCAAAATGATCGCAGTAGCATGAACATGATGGGAAGCATGCACCATGCAGTGCTACACGCATTGGCATGGGTGTGCTGCGAAGCGTGCACCACACAGTACTACACGCATTGGCACGAGCGTGATGGGAAACGTGCACCATACAGTGCTACACGAATTCACATGAGCGTGATGGGAAGTGTGCACTACACAGTGCTATATTTATCGTGTCATACGTGTATGTCATAGCAGTGCGGCTAAAGAAAAATCGCAAAAGCGGTCATCTTTGGTGGGTTTACTCACTGAAGTCTTCATTTAGTGGTGGGTATTATCTGGCAGCATGATTTATAGACAGCGCTTCGGCGTGATGAATGATTGTACAGAAATCCATCGTTAGAAAATCATCCGTTACAGTGATCAAACACCGGCCAGTTGACCTATTACCGACAGGATCACAGCAATAACTTCTCAGATACATATGGAGCAGCTGTTTCTGCAGCGCACGTCCGTCGAGCCCTC